CTACCATGCACATCGGGCAACAAGCACCTGTTCCACTGAGCCATCTCCCCACCCCGACAGAAGCTTTTATTTTTAAAATTTATTTTATGTGTATGAGTGCTTTGTGTGTATGAAGTGCACCCATGCATGTTATGCCCAGAGGAGAGCATGGGGTCCCCTGGAAGTGGAATGATGAGACAAGTGTTAGCCACCATATGGTTGCTGGGAACTGAACTCAGGTCTTCTGCAAGAACAGCTAGTTCTCTTAACCACTGAGCCCTTTCTCCAGTGCCCTCAACAGAAGTTTTAAAAGTATGGTAATAAAATGACTTATAGTTTTCAGTAGCTGCCAGGTGTGGCGGCATACCCCTTTAATCTCAGCACTCTGGAGGCAGAGGGGCAGGCGAATCCCTATGAGATAGAGGCCAGCCTGGTATACGCAGGGAGTGCCAGGCCAGCTGGGGCTACAAACAGAACCTGTCTCAAAAAGCAAACAAATGAACAAAAAACAAACACAAAAATTTCAGTAGATGATAAAATATATAAAACTATTACACTGGGTGGATTTTTATTTTAGAAAAATACTACACTTGATTTTGAGGTAGCAATGTTTGGGTCTATTTTGAAATTACCAGTCATTATCAAGGTTCATTTACTAGCTTTAAAACTCATATTTCTAAAGACTAGATAATTTTTGTTATATAATCATCTGGTCAGGCAGAAACATGTTTCTAAATCCAGTTTTTTTGTTGTTTGTTCTTTTTGATTTTTTTGAGACAGGGTCTCCCTGTAGCCCCAGCTGGCCTGGAACTCGCTATGAGGACCAGGTTGGCCTTGGAGTCACACAGATCTGCCTCCTCTGCCTCCCAGGTGCTGGGATTAAAGGTGTGCACCACCATGCCTGGCCAAATCTAGTTTTTAAATTAAAAAAAAAAAAATTACTTTTGAGATAAGGTCTCATTCATTTTGTAGCCCTAACTGGCCTCGGACTTACAGGACCCGCTTTAGTCTGCCTCCCGAGTGCTGGGACTAAAGGTGTTCACAACAGCACCCTGCAAAATTTTTATAAAATTTAAAATTATGGTTATTAGCAAGTGCATGTGCTCACACGTGCTTGCGTGCACATGCCACAGCACACATGTACAGGTCAGAGGACAATTCTGTGAGTCGGTGCTCTCTTTCCAACTTCATATGGGTTCTAGGGAACAAACTCAGGTCGGCAGGCTTTCATAGTAAGAGCCTTTACCTACTGAGCCATCTCACCAGGCTAAAACTGTTACTTAATGCCCCTTTTAAAACTCCACTTCACATAAACCTTCAAGTTCAATTAGAAAAATGTTCTGATAGCATCTACTAGCCTTCAGGCAATCGTTTTCCTGCTACATAAAAGTAAACATTCTTGCTTCTGTTGAGCTTAGTTCCACACCTCCAGGATGTACCTCCACTGATCACATCTCAGCCCTTGACATACATTTTCTTACACAAATTAATCCTTTAATAAATGTTTATTGTATTACCAAGCACTTACATTTCATTCAATTAACATTCTTTGTGTTCTTCCCATAAAGGGCTTAACATAATATATATACTATTTTCTCTTCAAGTTAGTATAAAAACTTACGAACTATATTCCAGGTATGACCTTATCTGGATCAGGTGGGATTACATCTCATATTAGTTTGTGTGCCAAATATACATTAATTCTATATATTATGATATAAATACATACTTGTGGTAGTAGTAACTGAACTGAATGCATGCATGCATGCTAGCAAGTGGCCCTCACTAAACTATACTCCCACCTCAACCAACTAAAACCATTTTGGGGTAGAATATGCTGGGTATCAAACCCAAGGATTCCCACATAATGGGCAAGCATTCCACCAAAAAGCACATCCCTACCCAAGTAGTTTCTTTTTGAAGAAGCAAAAACAACACTTTTTACATTTAACTTTCACAAAATGAGTGACTTATATGGCCATTATGAGCTGGATGAGATAGCTCACAATGTGTATCAGACGTAGTTCTATGGTAGGCAAGTTACACGCTAACTAAAATGCCATATCACAGGACATCTCTTTTAAAATAAGCATAAAATTAAGAATCTGAGAAAAACTTAATGTCTTCCAGAAAATATACATTGTACACAACAAAGAGAGAATCCTTACAATATAAGGAGATCCACAGGGGCCTAGAACCCACCTAAGGATCCTTGAACTGTACCACTGGCTACCATAGCCTTAATCTTTAGCACAGAGTCTATTATACAAGTCTGTATGCAATATAAACTGACAAATTGAATTAAAGAAACATTAGTGTGTCAATCAGGTGTTTAAAAGTTGGGTTAGCTGACAATGAAAAGTCAATGACCTCAATGAATATGAAGGAGTGTTTTGTCTCCATGGATGTTCATACGTCCATGGCATGCAATGCTCACGGAGGTCACAAGAGAATGTTAGATTCACTGGACTTGAAGCTTTCGGACAGTCCTTAGCCACCATGTGGGTACTGGGATCCTAACCTGGGTCCTCTGTAAGAGCAGCTGGTACTCTTAACCCTTGAGCCATCTCTCCAGCCCCACTCAATGGCTTCTGAATGGTTTCAAATATTTCTATACTGTATGGGCAACGTTCCCAAGCATAGTTACAGAAAAGAATAACATAGATTCATAGAGAACTGCAACAAGGCTAAAACCAACCTGCTACCACTTCACTAAAGATTCTTGTTTCCTGTTTTTGGATACAAGACTTTTCTGTAGCCCTAGCTGGCCTGGAACTCTCTATATAGACCAGGCTGGCTTCAATCTCACAGATGTCTATCTACCTGCCTGCCTCTGTATCTCAGGTGCTGGCATTAGAGGCTTCAATAAAGACATTTCTGATGGTTAAAATGGGAAAATGGTTTAGGCATTCCTATATGAGCACGGGCTTCTGAACACCTGCTACACGCACCTGCTACACACCCCATTCATGTTTATCACAACTAGATATTAACATATAGAAAGAGGATTACTGTGCTGGTATTCTTTGCTTTTTGCCTTTAAAAAAACATTTTATTATTTTTATTTTATGTGTTTGAGTGTATTTTCTGCATGTGTGTAAGTGCACCTATGTCGTGCAATGCCCATGAAGGGCACTGAATTCCCTGGATCTGGACTTACGGACAGTTGTTAGCCACCATGTGGGTACTGGGAATAGAACCTACGTCCTCTGCAAGAGCAGCAGGTGCTCTTAACCACTGAGCCATCTCTCTAGTCCTTTATGTCTTGTTTTTGATACAAGGTCTCATGTAGCCCAGGCTAGTTTCAAACTCAGCATGTAGCCAAGGAAGACCTTGAGCTTCTATCTGGGATTACAGGCATGTGTCATCACACTCATTATGTAACTTAGGGCATAGTGCATGATAGGCAAGCTCTCTATTGACTGACCTACACCTTTAGTATTCAAAGCCAGAAGTAAAAGGGAATAAAGTCATGACTAAAAAGAGGTGACAAACACCAGTCAAATTCTAGACATTCTGCCGATAAACATTTCTTCAATGAAGAAACAAGCTTTCAGTGACTGGAGTTAGAACTGTAAGAAAAGCCAACACCTAAAAGGTAGAAGTGAGGCCTGTTATTAGATGTGCCAGCAGCAGAAACCTGACATGAGTTCATTCCTGGAACCCGCATAAAGGTGGAAGAGAACAGACTCCTCAAAGATGTCCTCTGCTTTCCAGATGCACATATCACAAACACACATACACACTTTAAAATTTAAATTTAAAAACTGACATATTCTAAAAAGAACAATGGTGGGGGAGGGTCTGGAGAGATGGTTCAGTGGTTAAAAGCACTGGCTGCTCTTGTAGAGGACCAGGGTTTGGTTCTCAGCACCCATACGGTAGCAAACAACTATCTGTAACTCCAGTTCTGGGGATCCGATGCCCTCTTCTGACCTCCGTGGGCACTGTATGACATGGGTGCACTTACACACATGTAGGTAATACAAAGCTAGGAAGAAAGGAGCAAATGTTTACTGAGCATGTACCATGTCCCTAGGTGTAATTTCCCATATCTTTCTCACAAAAAATTTTAGAAGTATTATCACCTTAGCATTTTAAGGCACAGGAAGGCTGGTGAGATAGCTCACAGGTAAAGCAAGCATGAGGACCAGAGTTTGACACGAGAACCGACAGAGGTTCAGAGTAGGTATTGCAGATCACCTTAATCCCAGCCCCTGGGAGGCAGACAGGTAATCCCTGAAGCAAGCTGGATAGACACACTAGACTATGAGCAAGCTGTTAGTTCAATTCAGAGACTTGGCCTCAATGAATAAGGTGCAGAACAATTGAGGAGACACCCCAATGTCAGCTTCAAGCCCACACATACATGCACAAACAAACACATACCCACACATGCAAACACACAGCATGCATACCACACACAAAGACACCTGCAGAAAACTAAATGATGCATAGGAAAAAAACTCTTAGAAATAAGTAATGTGCTTAAAAAAATGGTAAAAGGATGAACCCAGATTCAAATAGAACTTTTAGCTAAAAAATAAAGTTTCCTCATGCCATGGGCATACTTAACAGTGTATACAAGAAATCATTTTTAAGGATTTAGAGTAAATATGATCAACAGTAAATATGGTTATTTTTGTCTACTTTCTTAATTGACAAAGCAGAAGACAATATTTTAAAAAGAAATGTACATAAGCAGAAATGGCAAAAAGACTATAGTAAGATGAACAAGTCAAATCAAAATATTTAGAAAAATAGAATCAAATAGTGTTTTGTTATATTTGTACATTAATATTCAGATTACAACATTTTGGACACAAGGTATATGTCCTGATACGAACTGAACTGCTACTTAAATTTACTTGGCAAACAATAAGTATCCACTGTGCTAGGTTCTAGATTAACCCTGGAAATTTGCCAATTCCCGTAAGAAAAGACCATCCTGACCTCAGAGATCACATTTCAGTAGACAGCTCAAAGAAATCGAAGTGTAAAGACATCCCAATAAAAGATACCTGACAATGCATTTCCAGGAAGAGCCATCTTGATCATCTTGCTCTTCTATGTACATTCTGACATTGTGATCTTGATCCAACTGGTACCAGTACATGAGGCCATCTTTGTCTCGCCCAATTGGCTGGAGACGCATGGTATCAGCATCCTCCTCATTAATAATATTCTTGAATTTTAGATTGTCATCAAACTGACACTCACAGAGATACTGAAAAACAGTTATAACATGGCTTAAAATATTGTACAAATGCTTCACCAATAAATATGATACATTCACAGAACTGATTCAGGGACAGAGCAGATAGATCACACATAGTTTAGTTATTTCTCAATACCCTTTCAACTTATTGTGTAGGATTTATTATGTAAATATTCAACTTTAAAAGGTAAACTTTAAGTTAACATTTTAATTTTATACCAAAGTAAAGTTTTAACAAAACCACTTGCACACAAGTTAAATATTACTAAAACTATGAGTCTATTTGCATCAAAACTCGCCAATTAGGGGCTAGAGACATGACTTAGTGGTTAAGAGCACTGGCTGCTCTTGCAGAGGATCTGGGTTTGATTTTTCAGCACTCACATGGAGGCTAACACAGCTAACAACTGTAACTCCAGTTCCAGGGGATCGGGCACCCTCTTCTGACCTCCTTGGGCACTTCACGACACAGGTGCACTTACTTATATGTAGGCAGTACACTCATACACATAAAAAAAAATGACAATTATATCACAGCGGTATAACCATGTGTTTAAAATTTTCATTTGATTTTTAAAATTATTAATTTCTTTGGCAAATAAAAATCATATATCATGATGTCCAACACGTGTTGATACATGAACAATGCAGAATGAGTAGTTAAAGCAAATTAACAAATGTATTACTTTAAAACTTTTTTAATGGTGAGTACACTTAAAATGCATTGTTCTCGCAATTACAATTACCTTTACAACTGATCACCTGCCTAAATGAACTCTTTAAAAGTCTTACCAAAATCTCTCTCCAATCTGATCACTGACCCACTAATGGAGGTTAGCCAGCATTTAACTCCGTTGTTCCAAATCTCATTCTTCGAAATTCTTCATTAAGTGAGGACACGGGGTCATTCTGTGGTTGGCTTATTACACTTAACATTCTGCAGATCTGTTTTTAATTTTTTTACTACATTTTTATTTATTTTGTGTGGTGTGTGTGTGTGTGTGTGTGTGTGTGTGTGTGTGTCATACGCCAGGCCTGTGTGTGAAGGACAGAGGACAACTTGTGGGAGCTGGTTCTCTCCTTCCACCATGTGGGTCTGAGGGACGAAACTTGGGTATTAAGCCTTGGGCAACAGTGGTCTTTACCAATGACCATCTTGTTGACCCTCCTTTATTATTTTTTTAAAGACTATGTAGTGTCCCACTGTGTAGATTCCTCATTCACTGAGTTTGATTCCACACTGTGATTAGGCTGCAGTGGCGATGTTAATATCTGTTAATATCTGTTTGAAATGCTTATTCCCTTTGTGTAGGATATGCATCCAGTAGGGAGTGCTGAATCATTTGGCAGTACCATTTAAAAATTTTGGATGGGCAGCCATATCTTTCATTTCTAAATAGTATTTAAATTTAGTAATTGTTCCTTTACTTTGAAGGCTGAGATAGGAGCCATCATCGAGCCTAGGAACTTAAGACATGCACTGACAAAATGGTGAAACTCTATTTCAAACCAATCAACAGACGAAGGAAATTTGGCCATGCTACAAATATAAATGCTAAATGGACCGGGTACCTCATGGGGAATCTGCTCTAAACACCTAGGAATAGCAGGAATTAATAGCTAACAAAAATACAGCAACTCCTTAGCATGTCCTATCGAACACGTGTTTTAAGAATCACCATAAAACCTTGAGATGTGTTGAACAATGATGCTTTATCTGAAACACCTGTCTTTTGGGGGGGGTGGGTCTTTTTGAGATAAGGTCTCCCTGTAGCCATAGCTGGCCTGAAACTCACTATGTAGACCAGGCTGGCCTGGGATCTCACAGAGATCTGCCTGCCTCTGCTTCCTGTGTGCTGGGATTAAAGGCAACGCTGTCAATTTTAAAAGAATGACAACCTCACTCATTTTTCACATATTATCCCTTCCTTCGGTTATGCTGTCCGTTTAGTAATTAACAAATAAGAAAAGGGGGAAAAAAGAAAAACTCAAAATTGAAATGCTGGAAAACAGTAACAAGTTGCTGATTTAGTGAATGGAGATTTTTGTACTTATAGTGATGAAATGTGACAGCAAAAAAAAAAAATAAATCAAAGTGACAAAGCAATCGCTTACCTACTGTATCACCATACCCCTAAGCAGAAGTAACTGAAACTTGGCATGTTGTGAAGGCACCTTCTAAAAATAGTAACTCAAAGAACAGACTTCTTTGTCTGCATGTGTGTTTGCATATCTGAAGATATATACATGCATGTGGACTCCAGTGGGTGATACCAGGTGCTCCTGAGATTGTTCTCTGACTTTATTTGCTGAAGTGGGGTCCCTCACTGAATCCAGAACTCAAGAATTCAGCTGGTCTTTGTGGTCGGTTTGTCCAGGGACTCTCATCTTTGCCTTATGAGGGCTGGGGCTACAGGGAGACCCTGTCTCAAAAAGACCCCCCCAAATTTTTTTTTCTATTAGTTCTTTGAGAATTTCATATACTTAAATTTATTTTCTCATTACATTTATTTATTCTGCATGTGTATGTGTGAGCACATACAGCCTCCAATACATGGAGGTCAGAGGATACCTCCTGGAAGTTGGTTCTCTCCTTCTATCATGTGGGTCCTAGGGATTGAAGTCAGGTCAAAAAGCCTGGAAGCAAGTGCTTTTTACCCCATGAACCATCTTGCAAGGCCTTGGTTTTCTTTATTTTATAATTTAATGAGCAATCAAAGATGAAAATTTTAAATTAAAATAATTTATATATATTATATATAAAATAGTATATTACCTTTAGGAGAGCTAGTTTGCATTCAACACTCATCTCAAGATATCCCTTCTTCTCCATTTCCCATGCCCAGGTGCTGTTAAATTCTTGGCATATCTGTCAGAGAAAATTAATATCTTAATACATGAAAACAATTTTTGTTGACATTTTTATCCTGGGATTTAAAATGTCCTCCAAAGGCTTGTGTACCAGGAGGTGGCAGAAAGTGTGGGAGGTGGGCCTGGCTGGAAAAAATGAGGTCACAAGTATGACTCTGAAGAGCATACTTCTGTCCCTGTTGTCCTCACCCCAGCCCTGGGCTGCCATGAGATGAGCAGCTCTGCTCTACCTCAGCCCAGAAACAATGATTAAGTCTCAGACAAGCACTGAAGCCTCTGAAACCACAAGCTGAAGTACAACTCCTTGTCTAGGCTGGTTTTCCCAGACATTTTGTCATAGAAACAGAAAACAAGCTAGCAAACACCGGTAGTGTTCTATGATTATGTTTTGTTCTTATTACATACATACATACATACATACATACATACATACATAAAGAGTTCAATGCTAGTTTGCATTCAACACTAGATGAAGTGACAATCTAAACCAATTCCAACCTAAGATGCACACTACTTAGATCCATCAGAAATGTTTACTATTGTCTGCAACAACTTTAACCTCTGTTGCTTTCTACTCTGCTCTCAACAATTTTATGTATATTTTGTGGCTACAATCATTCCACATGAGAATAAAGGCTGAAAGTCTTTCATGTTTATGACTGGACAGAAGTTCAAAAACATGTCCAATTCTACACAAATATACCATAGACCCACTTTGCAAGTCAGTGTCCTGTTCATTATGTACACAGTATAAGCTCCACTGATGAGTATTTCACAGCTTTAGTAATGGGCTTAAACTTAAATGTTTCAGGATTCTTTTTTCAACAAGCATTTGAGTCAAACTGAAACCACTAAAACAAACTGAAGAAGATGGCATACATAAATACTCAACTGAGAAGTCACTGAAGCTGGATATGGTGGCCATGCTTGGAATCCTGCAGCTGGAGGTGGCGTCAGAAGGATCACCAGCTTCTGACATGCCTGGGCTATGCAGAGAGACCTTGTCTCACACAACAACAAAAGTAGTGTAGTAAAGCGGGTCAAACAGCAACTCTTCACATACTAAAGGCCTCATGTAAGAGGGATGCATGTGAAGAAATGCCAGGGGTTTCAACCTCTCTAACCAACAGGTTTATTTCTTGGTCTTTTTGAGACAGGATCTCCCTGTAGCCCCAGCTAGGCTGGAGCTCATTATGTAGACCAGGCTGTCCTTGAACTCACAGAGATCCGCCTGCTGTACTGTTTTTTTTGTTGTTGTTGTTGTTTTGTTTTTTTTTGTTTTTTAATCAATAAAAGGAGACTAATAATACGGATTTCAGAAGCTACTAAGTGGACATGAAAAATGATGCAAAGTACCTGCCAATTTCATGGTTTTTGTTGTTATTATTTTGTCTTTTCCAATTCAGGGAACAAATAGCAAAATGAGAGCCAAAGCAGCAAGGAAGAGAGTATTCTGAAGCCTGGGCAACTGGCTGAAAGGTGAGGGGAGAGAAAAACAAACGGACAACAGAGAATGTTTAGACCCTCTCAATTAAGGAATAAGATTGGGACAGAAAGGGTCACTCTTTTCCAATCCTGCACTATGGCATCTTTTTACCAACTAGCTTGAAAAAAAAAAAAAAAAAATCACAGGAGGTCAACATAAGCAAGCAGTGTAGCCAAGACTATACAGTCTCAGAGAAAGGGTGAATTCCCTATTGTCTGGAATGCCACAGAACTCCCTTCAATTGACAGCAATGTGTGTGTGCACGTACCTACAAGCAAACAAAGAGCTCCGAGATATACTATTAAAGGAAATCAGAATATTACACAGATTACATGTGAAGTGATTATATCAACAACTAAAATGTCAGGATCTGAACAGACTTTTCTCCCCAACAAAAAAGACAATAATTGACAAGAAAAAAAAAAGAAAAAAAAAAAAAAAGAAAGTTGAAAAGTCTACAACCTCCTAGATGATCACTGGGAAGGTAAAACAGCACAACAGTAGAGAACAGTTTCTCAAACATGACAGCACTTGTCTAGCACGGGTATGGCTTTGACCAATCCTCAACACACACACACACACACACACACACACACACACACACACACACAAAGACAAACAAAAAGCAAGCAAGCAGCAACAACAAAAACGAAGTAACAGTATACATGGAACCAGTGGAAAACATGAAAAATACAAGACATAAACAGACATACTAAACGATCCTAATGATTCCAGGTACATGAGATGACCAAAATATTGAAATTCTAAGACAGAAAATAGATTAATAGTTGAAGGTGTGCTGTCAATTTACGTATGTATGTAATATGTATGTATGTATGTATGTATGTATGTATGTATGCACGTAATGCCCTCAGAGGCCAGAAGAGGGTGTCATATCCCCTACAGTAAGGTTACAGACAATTGTTAGCTGCCATGTAGGTGCTGAGAACTGAATCTGGGTCCTCTACAAGAGCAACCAATGCTCTTAACCACTGAGTAATCTCTCCAGCCCCCCCTTTTAGATATTTTTTAGATCTGTTTTTGTTTTGTTTTGTTTTTTGTCTTTTTGAGACAGGGTCTCCCTGTAGCCCCAGCTGTCCTGGAACTCACTATGTAGACCAGGCTGGCCTTGAACTCACAGAGATCTGCCTGCCTCTGCCTCCCGAATCCTGGGATTAAAGGTGTGCATCACCACACCCGGCCTCAGATCTGTTTTCTAACATTTATAGTGTTGTCAATTTAACAGACTCTAGACTCATCAGATCATCAGGGTATGATTCTTGGAGGATTATCCTGATTGCACTAATTGATGTGGGGAGACCCACCCACTGTGGGTGGCGCCAGTCCCTGGCTAGAATCCTGAACTAGATAAACTAGAAAGAAAATTGAGCCTCTACTGACTGGATACAATGTGAAGAGCTGCTTGAAGTTCCTGTTGCCTTGTCTTCACCACCACCACAAGCCTTTTCTCCCCTAAGTTGCTTTGGTCAGGGCATTTTATCACAGCAACAGAAAAGCAACCCAGACACCAGGGGATGGGGGAATGGACGAATGGGAGTGAGTTATAACAGGTACAGCATTCTCTTTAGTGTACCAAAAATGTTTTGAAATTAAGATAGGCTGCAAATGCTTGTAACTATACTAAAACAAACAAACAACACAAAACCCCTCATTGAATTGTATTTTTTTTTAAGTGTTCATGTTTTGAGACAGGGTCTCAGACAGCCCATGCTGCCCTCAAACTCCTGAATCTCTTGCTTCCTCCTCACAAGTATTAAGATTACAGGTATGGACCACCATACCTGGAAAAAAATGTTAATTTTATGGACTATGAATAACATTTGGGGAAGAAGATGGGGTCCCTATAGCCCCAGCTGGTCTCGATCTCACAGAAATCCAACTGCCTCTGCCACCTGAGTGCTGGGATTAAAGGCCTGCATCACCACACCCAGCATGAATAACATCTTAAATCTCAGAATGAGTTGTGTTGTTATACACAGCAAGGCAAAGAGATTGTGCTTTACCTAATAAATGAGGGATATAGGAACTACTTTCCTTAATCAGCTGTTATAAAATAAGATTATATATAAGATACCAATCAGTCAGCTGTCGCCAAGGGAGTTGTGGATACAGAATACATTGAAAACTATAAATCACCTAGTTCCATGTACACATATTTAAATTACAACTCACCAGAACTGAGGTATGATTGTATCCAACTGTTTTAAACATAGTAATGATTCAGGACAACTAAAACAAGTACTTACAGAATATCTACAGTGACACACTTCACATTAAGCACAGGAAAGGTAAAGCTGAACTAAGCAATGGTCTCTGGTGAGTGGAGATGTAGCTCAATTGGTTCAGTGTTGCCTAGAACGCATGAAAATCCTAGGTTCAATCCCCAGCACTTCATAAACCAGGTGTGGTGGCCCACGTCTGTAATACCAGCATTTAGGAGATGAAGGCAGGAAGATCAGGAGTACAAAGTCAGCCTGCCTGGCCAGTTTGAGATACATGAGATCTTGTCTAAATCCAAATAAATAAAAACCAAAAAACAAACAAAAAACAAAAAGAGAGGGTCTCTATATCAAGAAATTCAGTACTTAAGAAAGAGAGAAATAGTCCTGTAAATAATTAAAGGGTTAGTTAGTGGATTATCTACAAAACGAGTAACTGCTATATATAAGGGGATATAAAGATAATAGATGATGGATGGATGAATGGATGGAAAGACAGACAGATAGATCAAACTATGAAAACCCAAGGAAACACTAACACAGCCAATGGAGGAAGAGCGACCAAGGAAGGTTTTATTCAAGTGGTGACACTTGTAAAGGGATCAGAGGCATGAGTGACATTTTGCCCAGGAGGCAAAGAGTATATCAAGATGCATTTTTATTTTTATTATGTGTATATGGAACTGTATGCATACATGTGTGTGCTGGTGCCATCGGAGGCCAGAAAGGGACATGGAATCCATGGAGCCAGAGTTACAGGCTTTTGTGAGCCCTCTCTTATGGGTGTTCTATCCTCAAGATAAGAGTAGCAAGTGCTCTTAACCACAAAGCAATCTTCTCCAGCTCAAGTATAAGAAGAAAGAAAATTTCCAAGTGAAGAATATGATCATGGCATGTTCTGTCAATACAGACTGAATAGAGGAGTTCTTTAAGCTGAGTCTCAGACCTGGATCATAATGGTGCTGGGGGTCAGCAGTGAGCAGAGACAATGCTGAAGAAAGGCAATGAACCACAGTGAGATCAGAGGCAGTAAATATTCGGAGCCACTGATAGCTTGTAGGTAATAGTAAAAATCCTCCTGTAGGCACTGTGTAGGAGACAGGAAGCTAGACTCTGATGTTAAGGAAACCAATTAAGGCTGAAATAACTCTTTGAAAGTGACGAAACTAGCTGAACTGTGGCAGAGAATATTTAAAAGAGGATTCTGCTTGTGCAGACATCTTATGAAGGTAATAACAAGGCTATTACCCTTTACTACGCACAAAAGAACTT